AAAACTGTTGAACACTACATCGAACTCTAAAGGAATATTGTGCGACGAAACTAATCCGTTGCTGGCACAGACGTCTCAATCGCACTTTTCATAATGGTGTTGAAAAATGTTCAAACTACACTAACAGTTCATAGTCAAAACTGGTTCAAGGGAACATGTCAACAGAGAATCAATTTCCTAGTGAAGATTGGGCTTTAACATACCATATTAGCCTCCCCCTCCCCCAGCAATTTAAGACTATCTTTCCTCCAAAAAAGGTAAAAAAAAAAATATCACTGCTCATTCAGGCAACGTTTTTCATCATTTGACAGCAGTTAGGGAGAATCCCCATTTGCTTTTCCACCTATGCTATCGTGCTCCAGGGCCAAAATCTTTGTTTAGTAATAGCAGTTGGCACCTCAGTGCAGAACTTTATTAGACAAGTGGCCATTGTCACAAACGAGAATCCTTAGCTTTCTAAAATAAATCTCTAGTTCCACCTTTTGCAAAACACACTAGCCTTTCAGCAGAAGGAACAGCAGCTTTGAAATGGAAATGCCAAATTCAAACTGGGAGCATACTTATAAAAATACAATATATTGGCCAGCTTTTTTCCAGCCTCCAGAATGCTGTAAATAATCTAAAATATCAACTATAGAAGAGAAACTGTGCTGCCTGAGAAATCCTGGTCATTCCCAGTGGCAGGATGAAGAAAAAAAAAAGACTGCTTTTGTCAGATACAGAGGCCACAATTCCGCCACTTCTTAGGGACGCTATGATGCGCTCTCTCTTTTCAACTGATCAGAATTTTACAAGATTTTTAAACTAATTACTTACAATTCTGAGGCTCTGTATTAGGGTTGTTAGCAAATGTTTATTTTTATAAACATGCAACTGCTGAATGTTTCAGCAGTTACAAGCTTACAGGCAGGGGGCACGCAGCTCAATGGGAGCCAGTGCTCGGGGTGGGGTGGGGGAGGGCGGAAAGCCAGCAAGTAGTAGTTAGGATTAACCGATAAGACCAGACTTCTGTATATCAAATATAAAGAGCCTCAGTTATCTTGCAGGCATGGAACTGTGAACAAAACATTATGGTTCAAAAGTTTATGACTGAACATTGACTTAATACAGGTTTGAAACTTCACTATTCAGAAGAAAAATGTTGCTTTTAACCATTGTAATTTAAAAGAAACAAGCATAGTAACAGTTCCCTTACTCCGTTAAAAAAATCATCAAAGCTCTGGTGTTCGTAACTTATACATTCTACAAACAAGCATAGTAACAGTTCCCTTACTCCGTTAAAAAAAATAATCAAAGCTCTGGTGTTCGTAACTTGTACATTCCACTATACTAAAACTCTTCAAGGACTAAAGCACTTATAGGATTCAGTAATGAGCATTATATCTGTTTCTGGGTTGAACTCTTGACCCAGATGGGTAGTGATCCAAATAGTTATCATCTACTGGCTACTTAACGTAAAGTCATGTTGGTGGTCTTAATAAACAAAAATCCCATAAAAAAATCACCAGTATTCACACCTTGTTTAATGAGGCAAGTTAATCCCTAAAATGGATTCTCTCTAGACTGGGATAAATGCACAGTGACAAGGTGGTATGTGAGCAGCTTCCTTCTGGTGTCTGTGCTTTTTAGATTTCTTTTTTCTCTCTTTTATGGATAGAAAACATTATACTCCAGGGCTACATCTAGATTGCATCCCTTTTTCATAAAAGGGATGCAAATTAGACGTATCGCAATTGCTAATGAAGCGGGGATTTAAATCTCCCCCACTTCATTCGCATAAAAATGGCTGCCGCTTTTTTTCGGCATGGAGCTTTGCCAGAAAAAAGTGCCAGTCTAGACGCGGATCTTTTGGAAAATAAAGCCTTTTCCAAAAGATCCCTTATCCTCTTATAAGGGATCTTTCGGAAAAGGCTTTATTTTCTGAAAGATCCGCGTCTAGACTGGCACTTTTTTCCGGCAAAGTTCCATGCCGAAAAAAAGCAGCAGCCATTTTTATGCTAATGAAGCGGGGGAGATTTAAATCCCCGCTTCATTAGCAATTGCGATACGTCTAATTTACATCCCTTTTACGAAAAAGGGATGCAATCTAGACGTAGCCCAGGTTCATCAGTCACCATTTTTCACAAACATCAACTCCTCTTAAAAACAAAAAAAGGATAGGAATTTTTAAATAAAATTAAGTTTTGGGAGGCATTTTGATGCACACCCATAAAATAATCGTAACATCCACACAAAAAAGTCAGAGGTTAAGAAGAACATAGCCAATTTTTTTTTCTTTCTTCCTGACAAACATTAATTTAAAGGGCTAAACAGAGAGCACAAATTATATTCTATATAATAAGTCGCAATTAAAGTATATCTGTATGCTAAGAAATATTTTATGCAAGTTAGAGGAGTTGACTTACTTGCTGCCGAATTCTTGGATTCCATCTAATGTAATAATTGACCCAAAGTTCTAAGTGACGCATACTGGCTACTGGATAGAGTGCTCGATTCAGTTCTTTGGTATAAAAAGGATTGGTATACTTTGCTTTTTCACTATTTATTAATGACCACAATGACAATGTTCTCTCAGTCACTTTCTGCAAAGAAAACAAAATGGTAAGGATCTTGAGTATTTGTACAGTATAAGAGTGCATGCACTACTACATGTTTTTATACAGCATATTTCCATTCTAACAAAGTATCACATATATAATCACTACATGAATATTCCACAAGCAGTGACAAACTCAGAGTATCCTAATGTCTGCACACTGTCTTTTAGATACATGAAAACAAGTTTGCAGTCTTCCAACTGCTCCCCAAATAGTGTCTTCGCTATACATTAGCTTAATTTTTTTAATTAATATTATACGTCTCTCGTGCCACACACAAACAATCATCAGATTTACCTACCTCTTTGTCTCTAACAGATTCACAGCTATACAAGAACGTACCAAATCGACAGCTATACAAATGATCCAGAATGGTAATCAAAAATTGTTCATTGAATTCAAAAGCTGTTGGAAACTAAGCAAAATGAAATGATTATTAACTTTACCTAAAAATTAGGTTTCCTACCACAAAACTACCAGCATATGATAAATTAAATGCTCTAACAGGTAAGATGCCAACACACCTATTTTTTTTAAAAATCAATGAATACATGTACTTAAACAATGCTGCTTTACAGGGAAGAATACAAACCTAGCTCAGCATCTCCAAAGAGAGTGGAAGTCTCATTTTGCCTTACAAGAGGTTAGTTTCCATATTAAATCGGGAACATTTTCACTTGTCTCACAACAAGATTAAGACTAAACTATATGCAGGAATTAGGAGTTGATAAAGGTAAGGGACCACTGCAATTAAGCAAAAAGCAGATTGTGTGTCAAACACAATTCTTCAAAGGCAGTGAAATAAAGTTCTTCATGAATGATGCCATGAAAAACTGTTAACTCAACTACATCAACATTAGATGTCCAAAATTATTGTTTAAACTAGTAAAACAGTCATAGGCCTAAACTAATGGCTTGGCTTTACACTGATACATAGGGAACAAATATTTGATTTCAAGTTCTTGACTCATTTTCAGACTTACATAGGCTAGTTATACTATAAAGATAATACGCATAGTTTTATTTAATATCAACAGTCTTATGAGGTAAGCCCTAAGCATTCTTTTGAAGTGTCAATAGGAAGGACAGGAGCCATGTCACAACATCTTCAGGGCAAGGTGTTAGAATAGAATTAAAAGGGGGGAAGGAACTATGAAATAACCAATAGTGAGTGGTTTGATAGACCTAGTTTGACACTCAAAGACTTAAAAGTTTGTTTTTCCTTGTATGAAGGAACTGTGTTTCCAGGAACAGTTTTTAGAAACAGTTTAGTGAAATAACGACATAAAAAGAAAATTGATCATAATATATTAATTCTAGTTCCTGTAATTATATGCAACAGTATTACACCATTACAAACATTCATAAAAGTGTCTATTCAAGTTATGTTGTAGAATAAATCCCTTTAGACATGAAACATTGGGTAATGAGCAAAAGGACTGGACATAAAGCCAGCACATTTTCTATTGAGCTACAGTGAGACTTCCAGCTGGGGAGGGAGAAAACAAATAAGAGATATGTTCTATCTGGTCAGAGCATAAAACTTAGGTATACAGGAGTGGTTTGTTTGGTTTATTGATGTTGGGATTTTTTTTGGAATGGGGTGGGGAGTTTGACATTTTTTTTTAGGCTCCAGACTCTTAATTCAAGGATAATTCTAAAATATTTGCAGGATAGCACCGTCTTTTGAATATGGATATAGCTTACCTGTTTAGACATTTGCCACACACAATCAATGAACTGGAGAAAGATAGGTGATCTGTCAGTATCAGCATGGTTTTTATCACCATGGCCTATTCTCTGAAATGATACAAAGCAAGTTGGACATTACTCACAACTAGTGATGATATATATCTGATATCTATTTTGGTGTGAGATGTGCATCATAAATGAAGAAGAGGCATGAAAATACACATTTGATACACAATATTACAGTAGGGGTTAATACACTATTGTCCACCTTCCTGACTTCAGCAATACCATTTTACACATTACCATTCTTTTAAAACACTTGATTTAAAAGATGCTGAAGTGCAAATACCTTCTGTTAGAATCAACAGGAGTTTCTTGCTTATGGGTTGCAAGATTGACCATTGAAATCTACCCTCCAAACCATGGCCATCTTCAGCACCCTTAGTCCTATATATAATGAACTATGCAAAACATGACAGAGGTGGCAAGGATGCCATCAACTTGTACTAGTTCTTGATCTTCATTTAAGTTTGGAACTATACATCTTTCCTGCCTAATACTTACCCAACTCAGAATTATTTATGCTAGTTCATGCACTGTTGCGGTTTCAAGTCCTGCATTTCTCATGAACATACTGTACATTTATGGAATCAATGTTCACCAACATTTCATTAAAGATGGAAATCAAATTTATATTCCTTTGTCTACTCAGCTGTCGTATAGTTTGCCATATTCAATAATCTTCCTTTCCCAAAATCGAGAAGTGTATTTTTTTCTAACTTTCTAAAAATCCTAGCTAAAGCAATGTTGGTCCACTGTCAGAGGATACCTCAAAAAAGGCAATTCACTTGCGTTACTGTTTTACTACAACTGATGAACTAAACATTTACAGCATACCTTTAGCCTTGCTGATAAGAGATTCTAAAGAAGGTAATTTCACACACAGGGCAACTTTGGTAACAGACTGGGCAAACATAACTGTGAGATACCTACATGAAGATAGATAAATCTAAGGTTAGACTGCTTCAGCACTCTTGGTGACTAAGCATGCCGTAACTGGTAGCGTATCAATCTGTTCCCCAATTCTTTATATTAAACATTTTCTCTTTCTTTACTAGAAGAATTGTTTCTTAGGCTATGTCTGCACTTGGAAATGGGGATGTAATTCCTAATTTACACAGATATACTTCTGTTAGTACACCTAGCTAGGTGGAAGTTAAGGACAGTTAGTGCTATGACTAGGACCCTAGCAAACTCACGGCCATGAAAAACACAACATTGACCAGGAACTCTGGTCTTCAGTGTGCTTGTACCCTATACCAATGTTTAGCAACTTTTTTTTGTTTTTTTAATAAAGTACCCCTTTAAAAAAAATTATAAGTACCCCCAGTAGCTACAGTTTTCAGAGAGACAATTTTTTTCTACTATATTTGTTTAAACAACTTAATTGTAGCTGGGCAGGCAATTAAATTTTTGGGTGTAAAATGTACAAAAATAATAAAAGCACTGTAAAACTTAACACAAAAATTCAGTTTTCTCCAAATTTGATGTGTTGATGTGCCCTCCCGCCCCTCCCCCCCCCGACTTCTCTTGAGTACCCCTAAGGGTACTCGTACCACTGGCTGAGAAACACTGCCCTATACTGCACAGATTTCAGAGAGTAGACCAGCATTTCTCAAATTATGAGTCCCTTCCCCAAAAGTGAGTTGCAAGGGTGGGGATGGGTGACAAAGTTATTTTAGCGTGGCTGTGGTATTACCACCCTTACTTCTGTGCTGCCTTCAGACCTAGGTATTCAGAGAGTGGCGGCTAGTGGCCGGGAGACAAACTCTGAGAGCAGCACCCCACCAGCAGCAGCTCAGAACTAAAGGTGGCAATACCAGGTCACTCCAACTCCTATGCTCCCGCCTTCAGAGCTGGGCATCTGAAGAGTGGCATTTGCTGACTGAGGGCCCAGTTCTGCAGGCACCACACAGAACGGTAGCAATACTATAACTCCCCGCTATACAATAACTTCTCCCCCGTTCCCACAACAATCCCTTTTTTGGTCAGGACCCCCATAATTACAATACCATGACATTTCAGGTTTAAATACCTGAAATCATGAAATATAAGCTTTTTAAAAGCCTATGACCATGAAATTGATGAAAATGGACCATGAATTTGGTAGGGCTCTAGCTATGATACTAACTACTAAATAAGCAGGAGTTAAAGATAGTGACAACTAGGTCAGTAAAGTTTGACTCCAACTTTTGGTTTTTAGACCAAAAAGGCAGAAATCCCAGAGGAAAGAGAAACAGGATGACAAGAGTAATGCACACGGAACAGGATTTAAACTCCTTTAACATAGACGTTTTTCTTGTTGAGTGTCTCCCACTTCTGTGATGCTAGCAGGATGTGAAAACAGCTAGCAGAAGAAACCAGTAGTATCCACAATAAGATGGGATTACCTAAGAGTTCGCTCATTTCACATTCAAAGTTTGTCTCTGTGGAGAAAGTTAGGTTCATTTTGAAGGTTTGAAGTGAATTGAAGAGTAAATAGTAGTCACACATCAAAGGAAGTGGTCTCTCTCTCTCTCTCACTCACTCACAGCAGAGCACCTTTTCACTGGGAGAGAAGGGTGTTTACCCCACTGTCAATACAGGATTTCAGGCAGCCTTAGAGGTTGGCTGTCCTTGTCTTTTTGAACATCACTCCTGTGCAAATTATTACATCCTGCAAGGAGTATATCAAACAGATATACTCCTAAACCAAATGAAAAAATTAACAATTTGATGGAAAGAAACGGGAGGTAGTAAAAATTAGTAACAAAGCTTAATTCTTCAAAACAATAAGCTGAAGAAAGGGCAATTAAAAAGTCAATTTTCATTAAATCATGAGGCACAGCACACAGGGATTTAGAGAAACAATGGCAAAACTTGGGATGATAAAAGGCAGGTCTTACTAAGAGATAATGGCTTTGAAAATAAGGGAAAAGCCCTTGAAAAGCTTTGAAGTGGTTTTAGGGATTCCTGCTCACCTCAAAGACCAATAAGGAGAGAGCTGGGTTTGATACTATGGCAGAGCAGTGCTTCAAGCCTTATGTTGAAACCTGTTATGACAAATTCTAGGACATGCTGGAAGATGGAGCTTTCTTTCAGCATATCAGCCAGAAAACACTGTCCAGAACTCTCCATCTAGATATCTCGTTATGATCAGTCAAAGAAAAGCCAAAAACATGGCTGGAGTGAGAAACCTGAATTTATGCTCCACATTTCCAGTTATGCTTGAGGCATATGGAAAGTAGGAATGGAGTGACCCAACTTGTCACTCCCCCCGCTTACTGCCTCTACCAGAGAGAGGCAGCAAGGGGGGGGGGAGGAGGGAGAGGGAAGAGAGCAGGAGCCGGTGCTGGGGGGAGCCAGCCTAAAAGCCAGTTCCTCCCAGCACCGTCCCCATGGGGGTACAGGGGCAGGGGAGTCAGAGGCATGGGGGGGGGGACCAGATGCAAGCTAGGAATCAGCTATCCTGGCTCACACCAAGTTCCTCCCCCCCTCGCTGCACCTCTGCCTTTTAAATGTATTAAAAGCCTGGCAGCTCTTAATACATTTAAAAGGCAGAGCCACAGAGGGGTTAGTTAGCTCCCAGGGCCAGGAGCTAATCCCGTTGCGGCTCTGCAGTTTCTCCCCTCTTCAGTTTCCATAAACTACTCGATTAGCTGATTAAACACAATTTAACATCACTAGTGGAAAGCTTTCACTATTCTTTGCCTCCTTTTTGATGGCTGCTAAATAGCACCATAACATTACCAATTCTGCATTTCCAGCACAATGCATGGAGAGACAAAGAAAATGGATTTTTCAAAATGAAATAAATGCTAGGAAAGACTAACCATTCTGCTCAGATTTATTTTTCGTCATTTTAGACTGACCAATTAAAGAACGGGTGAAAACTTGACATGTTGATAAACTGAAAAGTTGAACACATTTATTAGAACTTTCACATGGCATGTAAGTTTTAATACAACCATCTTTCTAAAGATTTTTCTTGTTTTACAGTTTACAATGTACATAAAAGCTTTCAAACAGATCCTTTTAATTATTTTCTCTAATTCTTACCGATGCAAATTTGTGTCCAAAGCTTATCCACTCCTTTTGTACCAGAACTTCAAAACCCATAATTGTTCTGTAGTAGCTGTCTAACATCAACATGGCTAGAGAAGTTAATTGTGCTGTTCGGTCCCAACCATCACTGCAGTGTACCAACACAGAGCTCTTCCCTGAAGACACCTTGTCTGCCACTTGAATAGCTCCTGTCAAGACAAGCTGACAAAGAGGTACAGATACCAGACAATTCAGAAGGTTAGTGTTATCATTCCAGCAAAAAATGATTTTCTTACACTTTAACTTAAATGACTTGGGGAAAAAAACCTGCGAGTTAAATTGATCAGATTTTTCTGGGAGTACAGAAAGCAATTTGTAATTTCTACTGTAAAAAAATTAAGAATAAAATAATACAAGATATGGTTTGCTAAGGGAAAAGAGAACTAAACTCATCTCACAGAAATGTCTCAAAAATGGGATAGAAAATACAGTCTTTACTGAACAGCCTAAAAGCTTTTAAAAAACAGGATTACCACAAGAAATACCTGTGCTAAAAATTACACATTTCATGAATTCATTTTTAGTTGAAAAGTTGAGACAGATGTTATTGCTAAGAGTAAAGGCTATTTCATCTTTTTTCACATGTTTATTTTTGCAACCATCCATTTAAAATGGAAATTCTAAGTAAACAGTAGTTACTACACTAAGGCATACATTAAGTATGAAAATGCACAACCAGAAGGCAAAAGGCCAACTGACAAAACATACTGCTAAAAAAATTCATATGATCATTAATGCATACATTAGAATATTATATTTCCATTACAAGGTAGAGTATGCACACTTCATTTGCAAAGAAAATGAAGTTAAAAAATTAATTAGGGGGCTGTGCCACTTGCCACTCTCTCTGGGGGTAGGTGTCTGGTCAGGGAGGAGGGGGCAGGAGCAGGCCAGGGGTGCAAGGTCTCAGCAAAAGAGGGGGTTGGGGGTGCAAGATTTCAGCAGCGTAGTGAGTGAGGGTCTCATCCAAGGGTGTTGGTGATGGGGCTGGTGGTACGGGGAGGAGGGAGGCCACGTGATTCCTACCCCCCTGCTCCCGAAGCACTGGGGGATGGGGAGAGGCTGCATGGCTCCCAGTCGGTCGTGGTGAGACAGCATGGCTCCTGCACACACCCCCATGAGGGGAGAGGCAGCATGGCTCCCAGCTTCCTCACAAGGAGGAAGGACAGTAGAGCACACGGCTCCCAGCCCTCTGAAGGGCGTGTGATGAGGAGGGGAGGGTGCGCAGCTCCCAACCTGCCAGGGTGCGGGGAAAGGAGAGGCTTCACATTCCCTGGCCCCCCAGAGAGGGGGCAGGTTGCACGGCTCCCAACCCACGGCACCAGGGAAGGGGGGGGGGAAGGAAGCAGGTTGGCTGAGGGCAGAGGAGGCGTCAGACAGAGTGCTGCGATGACATCACTCTGTCGTCCCTTGGGGAAAAAATGTTATAAATACAGAGAGATGTAATAAACTTTGCTAGACTAAAATGTGTATGTTTTGAAATTTCAGTTTACTTAAAAATGCAGTAAAAGTTTAATTTTCTGTGTTCGTGTGCTATTGCAATTCACATTTTGTTTTACAGAGTTCATTAATTTAATGTTAATCTTACATTGTCTTGTACTTAATTATTAACTATACATCTGCTCCCCCAAAAAGTGAGGCATGTCAATATTTAAAATGATAAATGTCACTTACTGTTGCTAAATAGGGATATTAGCATGATATATTCTTAAGACCAGTACAATACAGACAGAGTTATTAGATATCAGCCCTTCTATAACTTAGTAATTTTACAACCTGACTAATCAAAATTATACCACTTTGTGTGGAGTACATAAATGCTGCCTCTTTTTTGGAAAATAGCATCTGTAATAAAGACTACAAGTCTGATATTTGCAGGAGTCCTAAGGCCAACTATTAACTGCATGTAGTTTCCAAAAAGCAACACAGTACATTTTCAAGGCCATCCAATTCCAGACCTGCAATAAACTAGGATTCTTCAGTAATTATGCAAATTAAAAACAAAATTAATGTAGTTATTTTATAAAAAGCAAAAAAAGTGAAAAAGTATTAGGTAAAATAATTGAAAATCTGATCCCTACAGAATACTGTGCTAGAAACTCACCTTGATATGTTCTAACCAGTGAGTTGATTCCAAACTAGATAGCCAGTGAGATTCTTCTACATTAGGATAAACAATGTCCTTCAACTTTTTTAAAGATTCTCTCATGACATGAATATTATGAATATCTAGGAAGACGAGTTCTGCATTGGGATATGCATCTTCACTTTCATATCCTCCTCCTGTGGCCTAAAAACCAAAAACAGATTTGAAATCTACTTTTAGTTTTCATTTATACTCTGCTGAAATACTTCATTTTTTCAGTCTTCCATCATAGGTCATGTTTTCTAGATGTTTAATAATTTCTGTTGCTCTTCTGTGAACTTTTTCCAATTTGTCTTCCTGAAATGTGACACCCAGAACTGGACACAATACTGCAGCTGAGGCCTAATCAGCACAGACTAGAGTGGAAGAATTACTTCTTGCTTACAATGTTTCTGCTAATTCATCCCAGAATCATGTTTGGTTTTTTTGCAACAGTGATAAGACTGTTGACTCTCATTTAGCTTGTGATTCACTATGACCCTTTCTGCAGTACTCCTTTTTAAGCAGTCATTTCCCAGTATGTATGTCTGCAATTGATCAAGCCTTCCTAAGTGGAATACTTTACATTTGTCCTTATTGAATGTCACCCTATTTGCCACAAATCATTTCTCCAATCTGTACAAATTATTTTCAATTTTAATCCTATCCTCTAATAACACTTGCAACCAGTGTTTCCTGTAAGCTGTGCACTTCTGCAGCCACTCAGGAGAGGTTTTGTCTTTACCAGTGGTGTACAGTCACACATGCCTCAGTGCATATAAAATTTATTCTGCACATGGATGGAAAAAATCCACACATGGATGGAAAAGAGTAGAGGAAGCATTGCTTGCAACTCCACCCAGGTTGCAAACTTCATCAGTACTCTCTATGCTATTATCTAAATCATTAAGTTGGTGAACAGACTTGGATCCACAACTGATCTTTGTGGAACCCCATTTGATGTGTCCTTCTAGCATGACTGTGAGCTACTGCAGATTACTCTTTGGGAAAGTTTCCAACCAGTTATGCACCAACCTTGTAGTAGCTCCATCTTGTACTATATTCAGAAGGGCAAGTGGGGGAGCCCATCGGGGTTCCATGTGCGGCCCGCGTCCGTTCTTTATGCCCCATTCCCCCATGCCTCTCATACTGATCTACTCCTCCCTGCACTTCCAGAGTGCCATGAATGAGCCGATTCTCACCATGTCCCCACTCTTCCCTCTCCCTTCCAGAGCTAGAATGCTGAAAAGCAGGAGGAGTGGGAATGGGGCATGAATAAGCCAATCCATGGTGCTCTGAAAGTGCTGAGAGGGAGGAGCTGGAGCAGGGACAGAACACGGGTGGGAGAGGAGGAAGGGAAGAGGCCAGTCAGAGATTTGATACTGTAAAATAAATGTAATTTTTTTTATTATTTGAAGTTGATAACTGTTCTATTTATATATGAATGATCAAAGCATTTGTACTTGTTTTGAAATATTAAGCCTGCCATATATTAAAGTATTTAATCTTATTGTTGGGGTCATGGTTAGTGCACCTGACTGATTTCAATCTTGCGACCCACTGAGACGTAGGAGGGCCTCTCATGCGGCCCACTCACTAGCCTTTAGTTGCCCATCGCTGTTCCAGGTTCACTCCCAGTTTCCTTCCCAGGAATTATTTTCCTTTCCCTCATCTGATTCATTACCCCGGACCTCCCAAAGCCTTTGCACTGTTTTTGAGGAGTGCAGGAAATAAGTTTCTGTATAGTAGTTTAAATTAATTATTCTTCAAAATTAGGTATCAATACGCTTAATAAGAAATCTATTTATCAAAAAAACTCTCAATGTTTTTTGTTATCTATATTGTTACCAATACTGTAACTGACATGATTATATTGTGTTATTTTGACAACCAAAATATGCAGCAAAACTTTAAAATATTGTGTACAGATTTTTTTTTTTTTCATTTATTTTTGGGGCAGACTTCCCAAAGGATTTGTATTGATCAGTCCCCTAACAAAAATGTTTTTAAAGAAATAGTCAGAGAATAAAATCTTTATAATATTTTCCCAAAAAGCTGAAAAGTTGTGCAGGAAAATAAAAATAAAAATATGCATTTAAGGTTTGGCATAATCCATCTTTGAATTTAGTCCAAAAAATTTAAATCACTTTTGTAAGAAATGGCATTCCTTCCGCAAGGCAAACCACAAAAGGATTACATGACTGTAACAAAGAGATAATGTTTTGGTCACCCACTAAAATTAAGTGTGCAGTATAAAATGTAATTTGTGGACTTAAATGCAGCCAGTTGAACCAAAGCTTTAAAACACAACTGGATTAAAATCTAGCTAAATTATTTGTGGTAAAGTATATTCCATATACTTGAGAAAAATAAAGCTGTATTTCCTTTTTAACGAGCTATTTCCATATTACCAGCAAATGGACTGCAAAGTTTTTGTTTTAAGTTTTTGAGTTACTGTGGTGCAAAAACATTTTACATAGTTTTTATTCCACTTTTTGGATGCTGAACAAGCCCAACAAATTTATTACACATATTTGCTATTGGCTTCTAAGTTCCTCCACTTCTCTGAGGACTGAACCATGGTATGGTACTACTAGTATTTTGATGACACTGTGTTTAGAAATACCAACATTAAAATACCACCTTTCTACCTGTAAAGAGGTTTTTAGAAACAGCAAATTCATGACAATTGCTTTCACTTTCAGGAACACAATTGTTAAAACATCTACTTACCTTGTTAGCTACTGCATTTACACTGGGTCTTGCATCATAGATAGTCAGTTTTGAGTTCTGTCCATTAGCATCCCTGATAATATCAAGATACCTTTCATCATCTTTATTCCTTTTCCCACTCATACCAACAAGAGGCTGACTGGAACGCATAACAACAGCTTGGCTCTCTGGATGAATCCATGACAGCACCTAGTCACAGGCCATAAAACGTAAGCCAGCAATACATTCTGAGCATGACAATTTAAAGCGTCAAAGTTACTTGGGGGCTGTGCCTCCTGCTCACTATGCTCAACCCCCCCTCAAACTGGGGAGGACCTGGAGCCAACGCCGCCCTATCCCCAACTCTTCCCCCTCAGCTACTGGGGAGGGTCAGAGGCCATTCCGACTCCAGCTCTTTCACCCCCCACAGGGAGGGGCCAAGGCTGCCCTGGCATGGGCTTTTCCACCCTCCCCCAGCCACCAGGGAGGGCCGGGGGAGGACAGTTTCTCCCCTCCCCCCCACAGAGCTGCCAGGGAGGGTCCAAGTCCGCCCAGGCTGTGGCTCTTCCCCCCGCCCCCACATCTTAGCTAGCACAAACAGTTCTATCATCATCAAGTAGTAAGTTAGCCACCTCCCCAGCTTCTGAGAGTTATATGAAGGTATGTTCTGCATGTCAAATCATACTTCCAGACACTGACATAAATCAGTCTACCCTGGTTAGTGAAGAGCAAAAGGCCCTGATTTGAAATACATTTTCCAAACATCTGGCAGCATCAGGACTTTCTCATCTTAGCTCTGCCACAGATTTCTTTTGTGAGCTTGGGCATGTCACTCGCAGCTAGTTCCCAAAAGCACTTGGGTGCTCCCAGCAGAGTGATGCCAGCGACGGCCAGCTAGGGTTGCCAGACGGTCTCCCAAAAAATACCGAACACACAGGCTAAAAATTTGTTGAGGGGGAAAAAAAAAAAGCCACCAAAGGGGGAGGCAGCAGAGCCTGCTCTGCAAAGCAGCCGCCTGCTACCCAAAGCAGAAAGAGGGAGACAACCCCAGGGAAACACAAGGGCAGGGAGGAGAGCAATTGGCGCTGGGAGCCTCTGGCTGCGTGCAGAAGCCGGGCGAGGGCAGTAGTTGGGACTCCCCCCGCCAGGCTTCTGTCCGCGCTCAGCGGGAAAAACAGAAAATATTTCACATTCATTGCCCATGTCCGGTATTTTCTGATTTTTTTTTTCCAGAGAGAGGGCGCAAAAGACTTCATTGCCCATGTCCGGTATTTTCTGAAATTTTTTTCCAGACAGAGGGCGCAAAAGACGGACTGTCCGATAGAATACCTGGCAACCCGGGGCCTGACCTTAGCTGCCGGGGCGAAACTGCCCGGGCCCAGCTCACTCCCCAGCCGCCAGGGGGAGCAGGGAGGCTGAGGCCACGCCAGCCCTGGCTCTCCTCACCCTTCCCCTGGCTGCCAGGCAAGGCCAAGGCCAGGCCAGCTCCAGCCCTCCGGACCAGCTGCAGCTCTCTCCCCAGCTGCCAGGGGGAGAAGGAGAGAGGCCGAGGCCAGGGCTAAGAACAGGCCAGCCCCGTCTCCCCTCACCCCAGCTGCCGGGCAGGGCCAAGACCACATTAGCCCTGGCTCTCCCTCCTTTCCCTCCTAGCCTTGGCTCTTTCAGCCCAGCTGCTGGAGGGGCCAGGCCGAGGCCTTTCCAGGCCTGGCTTTCTCTACCCTGCCAGCCCTGGCTCTACTCCTTCCCCTCCATTCCTTCCCCAGCAACCCCAGCTCTCTCCCCTGGCCCAGCCCTGGCCCTACCTCTTCTCGGGAGGCCACATGGCTGAGGGCAGAGGGAGGGTCTGCAGGACGCAGTGTCACTATCATCCTTCAGGAGACGTTTTGGTTTTTTTTAATAGAGATGTTCTTTTTAAACAGTTAATGGGAGGGTTACAAAATTTAGATTTCACTCAACTGGAAGAAATTATAAAGTTAAGTGCGTATTTTGTCTTAAGCGAGGAGTTATCAGTTACTATTTCTAGTAAAAATGTCATTACACAAGAACTAGTGGCATGTAAAAATGTTATTCCCCCTTGTGTACATAACTCCTGTGTAGGTCTCCTGAAGTTATATACACATATGCAAGGCCACGTGTATTCTGTAACTGCAGAAGACGTCTTTAATCTCACCTTTTGTTAAATTCTTATGGTTAGGTAAACAATTTTGAAAATGAAAACTAAGCAGACACCAATGCAGCAGTGCCTGCCTGAATTATCCAAGAGCCAAAACAACAATTCAGAGGTGTGAAAAGATCCCATACACTTCAGTTATAGTCCCCACGATTCTGCAACTGCACAATCTGGCATTTTCCCCTCATGTCACTTAATTTAGCATTTTCACTCCATCTAGATTCCTGAAATTGCATTTTCCTTCCCTGCTGCTGCGTTTTTCCAGATTTTCCTACAATAGGGAGCTGATTTGAGTACAGTACATGCTCCTTGCACTGTTCCATTAAACCAGAGAATGGAAGAAGGTGGGAAGTCAGCCCAGCTTGACAGTCTATTAGAACAAAGTCAGAGGACCAAGGGATGAGCCTCTGAAACTGACTACAATGTATCCATTTTCTCTCCTACACAAAATAGGAAGAAGATGCTGAACCACCTTGATAACACTGCAAGAACCTGTCTAGTGAAACCAGGCCCCCTGGGATGAGCATCCTCAAAAATAACCACAGCTGAAAATAATTCTCAACGAAGATTACATCCATGAGCCATAGCTGTCAGTGTTTGTGTGAGGACTGGAAAGAATGACTATTTCATGGTGGTAGGATAAGTTAATTCTACAGAAGAATTGGATCCCATTGTGCAGGCATATATGGGACCGCTCAAGATTTAGATAAGTTTAGCCTGGTTACAAAAAAAAAAGCACTAAGAGTAAATCTATTCAGTAACCGTAAGCATGGCACGAGATTTGATCTAGTACTTTTTGTTGTACCTGATCATATGAGTATGTCTTCAGCAGAGTGAAAATAAAAACTAAAAAACAAACAAATCAGACAAAATGGTTTATAATGACCTAGAATGTGGTTTATATATGGTTGTAATTTGTTAATCTTTGGTTTCTATTCTAAAGTTAGAGACGTTCTTTTAGGGCTAAATAAAACTTATTTTAATTGTCTAAGTTAAAATATTTCTTCCAAGCTCTTTAAAAAAAAAAAAAATAGCTGGCAACTCTGTAAGGATACTATGTAGGAGGTCTGGCTCTATGAATAACCTTCAGATTTGTGTTTGCCTGCCAGGTGGTTTGCATGCCTACGAGAGGGATAACATTTGTTATCAATTCTTAAGTGCATCCAACAAGAGTCAGCTCACAAAGTAGTACAGATGGTGGCCTGAGGCTCATGATCTGTCGACAAAAGGGAATGTACAACAGTGGCTGCCATTACTAGGAAAAGGAAATGATAATAGCAAACTAGGGATGGAGGGATATTTTCGTAGAGGAACCAGGAACAGGGCTTGGCAGTCACAGTAATTTAAAGCAAATTTAAGTTATTTGACTGAGACATAAAAAAGCCCCTTCATTCCTCAGGCCACCAGGATCAGACATTTGATGTAAACTTCACATTAATTACTCTTTCAGGCACATACAGTACTTACTGGAATTCTATTTCGGGACCTAAAAGCAGCAACTTTCTTGAGATCATCATCTGTGGCATTATATGGGACTACCAAAAGTGATGGATATGTATCACACAGTCCATAATGTTCATTGATAAAAGTTACTCTCCACTGTTCACTGGGCAGTCTCTTAAAAATGAAATAGAAACAAGTCATATTTTATTTGGTATTTTATATCTTCACACATTCTTCTTTGTACCTATTCTTTTACATGCTCTTATGGCCACATGGTGGCAACAACCTACCAATTTCCCATGAGTAACTATAATAACGGTGAACCAGAACAAATGGAATCTCAGAAGTTTACAGGATCACACAAGACAGGATGCTGCCTATGAGTTCACAGCCTTTAGCAACTACAGTAGATAAACGTGCTTGCCAGTATATGTAGTACTTTTCACAAATCATATTTTAACTAGATCTTCATGTAGAAATAGCTAAGAAAAAATAGTTCAACAAGAAGTGAACTATTCAGGGGTCGACTGAAAGAAAAGATTTTTCATACTATAGAGAAACCGTCCTTCCATCCTACCTATGAAAAAAAGGTTCTAAAAAGGGATAATTTGAAGAGAGAAGTAGAGGAAAGCCTTCCCTGTTAATTTTTCTCCTTCTCATACCATAACAGCTTGAGTCTCATATTTGGTTGAAGTTTGTTGAGGTTGAAGGCGGACTCCTGATTAGATTAGGAAATATAATTGCCTCTTAGCTAAACAGACTACTGATGTAACAGGATGTTACTCAGGAGACTATTCCCCAACAACCCATCAGGGAATTCAGACGGGCTAACAAGCTCCCCATACACTCACATATACACACACAGAGAGGGGTTTGTGTGCGTGTTTGAATTTTTACCTTTTCTTTAGGCCTGGGCCTCTAACCCTCGGACCAAACAGATGCTGCGTGAGTCTGGATACTCCTTAGCCCATCAGAAAATTACAAGGAGAAAATCCAAGAGAGTTGTTACGGAATGTTGTATAAACATGAATTTAAAATTTTTAATGTACTAAGAATTTATGCAACATGTCACCATGAAAGTAGTTATGGTGCTAGTCTTAGATATATTCACCTAATTAATAAGCATGCCATTTTAATTAAGTATATCATGCCCTTTCATTTGTTGCCATTACTTTTTTCATATCAATTCAAAATATGAAGTGAAGTTCATATAAATAACCACTGTAAAAGAACGTGCAGTTTTCACAAATAATTTTCGACACTATCAGAATGGATTGAATTTGTCTGCTGTAAGTCTTCTAAATGCCTGTCACATCCTCATCCTCTCTACTTTTGAAGCAGTGTTCAAAATACCCAAAATTAATAAGGAAGATTTTCAGAGTTAAAACCTCTAGATTTTTTAATATTGTATATAAACCCAGTGCATGAAGAAAATTTCAGATAAAAAAAACTGGAACAGTTGGTTTATAAAATTCTCAAATGCAGGATTTACAATGAGGAAAAAAAACACCCCTTTGTGTTGGCCTATAATTAATTTTACATGCAATACAGACAATTCAGAACCATTATAACTCTTCAATATGTTTACCAAATGATTACAATAGCATGCTATAATTACATTTACCAACCTCAAAGGGGCCTTACTGAGGTTTTTAAAACAATCTTGGAAGTTCCCCCATATTTTGTTTTTATTCTTATTTTTTGTCAGATCTGCCAACTTTTCTCTACCTCTCAAATTTTGTACAAATGTTGACAAACGACCTTGCTATTTTCTGAAATGTCCATACAAAAAAGTCTCTCTACATTTCCAGGTAAAGATATTAACTCACTTGTCTCCTGTATTCAGACATTGGATTATAAACCATCCAACCATTGACAGTAAACTTTTCTTCATTTACAAATGCAAAAAAAGGCTGTAAGGGAGAAAAGACAAAGAAATTTAACACGCAGAATTCCAATTGAAGGCAAGTATGCAAGAAATACCCTCTTGCTCCAAATGATTGGATCAATTTTCTGGTGTTCCTCCTCCCCTTGTATGTTCTATTCTAAGTTGAGGTGCGACAGATGAAGGTAAAACAGAACTTTTTCCTTATTCACAAAATCTCAACTGAAACAATATTAAGTTTGACAATTAAAAGAGTTTTAACATTTTTAAACAAAATGCTTTAAAAAAAAAAGTAATACAAAGCCTGAAAATTAGAGGGTGGAAACAGTAAGAGAACATTTAAAAAAAATTAAACCAAGCAGGTGACAGTTATTTTAAAATTTTGTACATTCCAGGTAGCTTCATATTCTACTCAAAGCAAACAACTGCTTTACCAATGACTGTCAATGCTATTATTCCTCAAGACTATACATTCACTTGAAGTTGTACAGCAACTTCAGGACAAAGCTTTTAATACTGAGTTGGAAAAGACTTGCTAAGTTTTATAAAACCAGGCTTTCGGTAGATTATTCAGCACAATAATTCACTGTGGTTTGGTTCACCTGTTTTAAGAAACATTCATAATTGTTTAGAATCCTCTTACCTAAGTTTCCTAACTGCAATGTCATAGTACCCATTTACTTCCTTGTTTTTGGCCACCTTAAAGTTGGTAACATACTACATAATGCATTGCTTTTAATAATCATGGCAATGATGGTGTAGACTCAAACCACCTCTGTCAATCTAAAAAGTAATGAATCTGTGGTAGAACAGCTACTGTTAGGCCAGCTGGAGCAAGAAGCAAAGAAAATTATGTGATGGACCGAGGACAGGTGATATGAGAAGAAGTGTCAGGATGTTGCCTTGAGATAGCTGTACAACAGCTGTAATGGGAGAAGCGGGCCAGGGCTCCCTCACAGCTGATGTCTAACAATAAGGCAAGAAATCACCTTTCTATTTGTATGAAAACATTGAGACAATAAACTTGATGCTGCAGCATCAAGTCTGTAAGATCTGTGCCATTCACCACCTCCTGACACATAGTAACGGGAACAGGTGGAAGGAGGCGGGGCATCCTGATAAGAAAGAATCAAGGTCCGGAAAACAGATTATTGCATCTCAGGAGGCTAAGGAACTCTTCATAGATATGACATGGGCACAAATGTGTATAGGCTTCTTCAGTAGGCAACTCCTTTCCTGGTACAGGCTGTGTAGTAATGAAGCATAGGACCTACAGTCTTCTGTAGCATAAGGCAAACAAGTATTTTTGCATAGCTCAGGTCTGGCGTGTTGCAGATGTTTAAATCAAACTGTCACTTATGAGTAAAATATTTAAAATGGAACCCTGCAACAAGAAGAGTGGTTTTCACTTCCTACACACACATTCTCCCTCAGAATGATAAACTTTAAAAATTAGTTATTGCACTTATATTATAATTGTGTGCACTATTTAAAAATATTGCATCCACTCCATTAGAACTGGAAATAACTGCTTAAATGCAACCAAATTACTATTTAGACTGGTATTCTATTACAAATTAATTCACAAGAGACTTGGTAAAGAAGAGAGTTACAGTTTCCCCCTTTATACATTGCAGCCTTCAATACGAGTAAAGCTTTAAATAAACTTTGACAGACGTTCAATGTACTAATTAAGAGGTCTGTGTCTCTTAAGAAAGAGTCCTACTAAAAACAGAAGTGAATATTTGAAGGTAGGAAGAACTGCAAAAATAATTGAATGCAACAAAAACAGCAGCTCTCAAATCACAGAAGTGATTTATATACACTGAATTCATAGAAAATGGTCATTTTTAAGTATCAATTTATTATATACAAAATTTGATACATCTTTCTTAAAAATTCATCCAAAGGCCTACCATAACATCACGGAAAAGGATCATTTTAAACTCATGGCTGAACAAAAATAATACTGGAAATATTCAATATCACCTTAAAGTGATCTCTTAAAACATGAGTTTGTTGCTTATTCGAAATGACGCTTCAAACATTTCCCAGTTCAATCACTGAGAAATTAAAGAAGAATGAGCTGTCTCTGGTAGGAATGTGAACAACGAGTCGACTGTTCAATAAGCAAAACACACAAGTCGACTAATCACTCCCCCTCCCTCCCTTGCTGGGGCCAAACCCTGGGCTCCACGCAGCACTGCCGTATTGAAATGCCGCATGCAGCCCGAGGCCAGCTGGTCTGGGCTGCACACGGTGTTTCGAAGTGGCAGCGCTGTGTGGAACCCGGGATCAACTGAGGAGTCCCCCACTAACCCAGGGCTCCATGTGGCGATGCCACTTCGAATGCCATGTGCAGCCTGACGCCAGGCTCTACGCAGTTTTTCAAAATGGTAGTGCCACATGGAGCCAGGGGTTAGCAGGGGAATTCCCAGCTGACTCTGGGCTCCACACAGCACTGCTACGTGGAAACACTGCTTGCAGCCTGGCAAATTGCATCAACTAATCGATTAGCCATCCCTAGTCTCTGGTACTCTATACCTGCAATTAAATATTCCTAAAGCTGATAAGATTCCAGTTAAAATGAAATAATTCATGAAAGTGGTGATTCAATCTAAAAGTAAACAAACGGCTGCCATATTGTATGTTTCACCATTTGAATATTGGAAAAAAATATTTTTAAAGCAGGTCTCTGTGCTCCCAAGCATAGTATGTGTCATCCAGGTTTTAGATATACAAATTCTAGTCCTTTCTCTTGTTAGAAAAGGATGATTGGCCCAAAATATTGGTATACAAGGGTACAAGCTTGCTCACGATGATAGAAAAGGGAAAAAGGAGGTGGTTTTGCCTTATATATTAAAAATGTGTAGCCCCAGGTCCAGTGTGTTTCAGCAGCAGCCTTGGGAACTACAAGTTGTGGACTACAAACTGCGGCATCTTGGGAGAACTTCCTGGTTCCTGCCAGGATGTGCCCTCTGCCCCCAGCAGGGTCTCATCTCAGCAAGGACTGTCTAGAAGCAGTACACAGGCTGCATGCTGAGAGAAGGGGCTGCTGAACTGTTTTCCTCTTTATGTTTTTTACAGGTAGGACCAGAAAGGGCTATAGAGCACCCTGAGAGGAGTTTAAGTGACACAAAGGGAGAACCTGGACTTGGTTATTTGGGGTTTAGTTACTGTGGGAGTTGGATCATGTGTTCCAAGGGGGCTGTGTTGTGTGCTGTAAGCTCTGCCCCCAGGAGGGTCTCAGCAACAACAAATAATTCATGAAAGTGGTGATTCAATCTAAAAGTAAACAAACGGCTGCCATATTGTATGTTTCACCATTTGAATATTGGAAAAAAATATTTTTAAAGCAGGTCTCTGTGCTCCCAAGCATAGTATGTGTCATCCAGGTTTTAGATATACAAATTCTAGTCCTTTCTCTTGTTAGAAAAGGATGATTGGCCCAAAATATTGGTATACAAGGGTACAAGCTTGCTCACGATGATAGAAAAGGGAAAAAGGAGGTGGTTTTGCCTTATATATTAAAATGTGTAGCCAGGTCCAGTGTGTTTCAGCAGCAGCCTTGGGAACTACAAGTTGTGGACTACAAACTGCGGCATCTTGGGAGAACTTCCTGGTTCCTGCCAGGATGTGCCCTCTGCCCCCAGCAGGGTCTCAGCAAGGACTGTCTAGAAGCAGTACACAGGCTGCATGCTGAGAGAAGGGGCTGCTGAACTGTTTTCCTCTTTATGTTTTTTACAGGTAGGACCAGAAAGGGCTATAGAGCACCCTGAGAGGAGTTTAAGTGACACAAAGGGAGAACCTGGACTTGGTTATTTGGGGTTTAGTTACTGTGGGAGTTGGATCATGTGTTCCAAGGGGGCTGTGTTGTGTGCTGTAAGCTCTGCCCCCAGGAGGGTCTCAGCAACGACAGTGCTAGAAGCAGCACACAGCAAGGACGGTGCTAGAAGCAGCACACAGCAAGGACGGTGCTAGAAGCAGCACACAGCAAGGACGGTGCTAGAAGCAGCACACAGCAAGGACGGTGCTAGAAGCAGCACACAGCAAGGACGGTGCTAGAAGCAGCACACAGCAAGGACGGTGCTAGAAGCAGCACACAGCAAGGACGGTGCTAGAAGCAGCACACAGCAAGGACGGTGCTAGAAGCAGCACACAGCAAGGACGGTGCTAGAAGCAGCACACAGCAAGGACGGTGCTAGAAGCAGCACACAGCAAGGACGGTGCTAGAAGCAGCACACAGCAAGGACGGTGCTAGAAGCAGCACACAGCAAGGACGGTGCTAGAAGCAGCACACAGCAAGGACGGTGCTAGAAGCAGCACACAGCAAGGACGGTGCTAGAAGCAGCACACAGCAAGGACGGTGCTAGAAGCAGCACACAGCAAGGACGGTGCTAGAAGCAGCACACAGCAAGGACGGTGCTAGAAGCAGCACACAGGCTGAGTAAAGGGGCTGCTGAACTGTTTTCCTCTTCTATATTTTTTACCAAATAAATCCTGTTCCTGGTGGTTTGTCGGAGTGGGTCTGGTCTGAGGTGCACTCACACATACACAACGCAGAGCACACCAAGCAACCTCAGGCCTAGGTCCCCTCCCCCCCCCCCCCCACACACACACAGTGGTGTAAGAAGTCACAAGCTTCCCCTGTGCTGAATAACCTCACACTGGGCTAGCCAACAGGAGGGGTTACAAATGTATACACATGGACTGAGGTTGTAATAGAGGAGACAGACTTGGTAAAAGTCATTGATAAAAACTAATGGGTTAAAAAACAAGGGTCATATCACAGTAGGGATCAAATACAAACCACCAAAACAGGAAAAGGGGGTGGATGAGGCTTTAAAAAAACCCAGCTAACAAAATAATCCAATGCACAGGCCTTGGTGGTGATGGGGAATTTCAACTACTTGGGTATTTGCTGGAAAAATAACACAGCAGGGCACAGATTATCTAACTAGTACTTAGAATTTATTGGTGATTTTTTTTTTCAAAACACAGAGAAAGATACTGGGGGCTGTCCTAAAT